AGGAAGAGACCACCAAGAGACTGACTCATGCAATTGCAGAAGGGGATTTATTTATTGGGGATCCATTCCAGCGCGCTGGGGCCCCGTGCTCACTCAAGAAGGGAGAGCAGCCCGGAGCCCCGAGCAGGGGCTGAGCATTGCTTAAGTACACTTTTTTGGGAGGGCGGGGACTTTACATACATCACAGTCTCCTTTAACAAATCATCATATACCGCGGGAAAATCAAACAACAACTCCCAAACATGATTAGTTCATTCATTGGCGGGAACAGGTCGGGCGGGAGTGATAGGTCAGTTCTAAGGGGGGAGGTACATTCAAACTGATTGGTCCAGGCCCTGCGATGCCTACGTGCAAGGCCACACAGGGCCCTAAGTTATTAAACAACCAGGCGGTCAGGGGAAATATTTACTGGGCGGTTCCAAGTATTGTCTTAACAGCTACAGGAATTTCAGGTTTTGCATGTAGCATAGGAACTTAACAATACCTGGTCCTTTACATTTTAACTCAGGCCTTGCAGCTTAGAAACTTTACAATGCCCGGTCTTTTACACTTTAACTTCAATTTCTTTTACCCTTACAGTGGGGGCAGAATTTGATGAAGGGGTTCAAAGTTTATGAGGTGGAATGAAAAACATAGGGGAATCAAAACATTTCTGAAAAAATAAAAAAATACAAAGAGTCACTTCCCTAAATGATATATAAACATATTGTAAGGAGTGTTCCAATGTGGATTAAAAAAAAATGTCACACACACACACACATACACACACAAATGGAATATTATGCAATCTTAAAAACGAAGGAGATCTTGCCATTTGTGACAACATAGATGAACCTTGAGGACATTATGCTAAGTAAGCCAGTCATACAGGGACAAGCACTGCATGATTCCATTTATATGAGGCATCTAAAATAGTCAAACTCACAAGCAGCAGAGAGAAGAATGATGGTTTCAGGGATAGGAGTAGGTAGAGCAGGGAGCTGGTTTAAAATGTACAGAACAGGTGGGTTATAACTCAGTTTGGCTTAACTCTGAGGCTCTAATTTTCCTTAATGGTGGAAAATGCTTAATCTTGCCTCTTTATTTTAGCCCAGTCATTTGGTTTAAAGAAATTAGTTCCTTGTGTAGCATAGGGATAGAATGACTGAAACCATAATTTAATAAGAAAATACTGTCCAATACAACAAAAATTTATGATCCATTTTCAGCAATTATCAAGTTTATAGTCAGATACCCTATGACTAAGGTTTATACATTTTATCTAGACTTGATGTTTTACTTAGAGTTCTACTTCAAACCATCACTGGCTAGGTTACTTTGGACTAAATCTGATCAACTCTAAGATCTGAGGTTCTTCCTCCCCTTTATCCCTCTCCTCGTCCCTCTTCCTCCTCTTCCTCCTCCTCCTCATTCTCTTCCTTCTCCTCCTTCTCCTCCTTCTCCTTCTCCTTTGTACTGGGTATTGAATCCAGGGATGTTTTACCACTGAGCTACATCTCCAGCCCTTTTTTATTTTTCATTTTTGAGACAGGGTCTCACTAAGTTGCTGAGGTTAGCCTTGAATTTGTGATCCTCCTGTTTCAGCCTCCTGAATCGTTGGGATTTCAGGTGTGCACCATCCTGCCCGGCGGGTCCCCATCTTCTTAACAGGTGTATGTGTGATCTATATTACACCAGGGACATTTCAGATGTCCTGGCTTTAGTCAGACATTTGGTTCTTGTGCCACGCTGTTTATATGAGCGTAAAGCTGGTTCTCACTAGCCCTGGTTTAGGGGTCTTTCTGAATCTCACCTCAAACTTCCTTTTGTCCTCTGGTTCTCTCATCAATTTTCCACCTCTGTTGGGAGCAGAGGAACTTTCAGTGCCTTCTAAAACTACACTGGATTGTGAGACCCTGCCAAGTGCCTCCTGGGCCCATCTGCCTACATACCTCCCTCATGGGGCTCTTCTGCCACCCAGGCAGAGAGTTTCTCAGATCCTGGCTGAACTTGCTAAACTCGGGGCTTCTCTATGAGTTCTGCAGTCTCCTTGGCTGGGATTCTTCCAAAGCTTTCTGGGTCTTATCACACCCTTTCCATCTGGGCCTTATTTAACTCCAGGTGGGTGGCATGTATATAGTGGTGTAGGTTGGGAGATGATTCCAAAGCTTTATTCGGTCCCCTCTAAAATATCCTTCTTGAACTGCTGTTCAAACTCTCCTTTCCTTTATTTGGAAGACAAGAAGGGCAACATTACATATGGTCATGCACTCTTTTTCACTCTGGTTTTAGTATAAACTATGCTTAGCTACCTCAGTTGGCATTTTCCATTTAAATATAGTGTGGAATTATAAGAAAACCTCTTACTCTTTCAAAAAAGCCAGAGTCTTACAAATCAAAAGATTTTCAGTCTATTATTTCTACTGTTTAAGAATTCATGTAGAAATTCAATTGCCATTTTTGATCTCAAGAGATATCCAGCTTTTCCTTGAAGGTGAGACATATAGAGTGATATCAACTGTTTTAGCATAGTGATATAACAAATGGAACTATAATTTAATATCAGATACAATACAGACAAATTCAGTTATAGTGAATGTTAAATCTTATAAGCACATATCTTGCAATCAATTTTTTTTCTTATAGTTTATAATTGCCTTCCCTTTGGTCTATATATTTTGGGGGAGTCAATGTTTTGTTTTTATTTAAACATCACTCTAAGTAGAGTTCTACCTGCAACAATAGCTACCTAAGTTATTTTGCACTTATCCTAGCATTAGTAAGAAGTACAGAAGATGGACAAAATATAAAATAAACATCTGTTCAAAGGCATCAAAAAGCCACTGAGACAGAATTTACAGGACCAAGAATCCAAAGAAGAAAGTGCACTGGCATTTGGTCCCTTTTCCCTCAAGGCAGTTGCTGGGTTAGAAAGCGAAAACTATTACCTGCACAGTGGTTCTCAATCATGGATGTACATTAGAATTACCTGGGAATAGCAAACAAGCCAACGGTCTGTCTCCCCTACTTGAAAAAAAAAAAAAAAAAAAACTACAAAATTGTGCTGGTGTGCTGAAAGCCATAGCCAAGTAGGAATGACATGGCATTTTTGGTTGAAAGGTGACACCAGCAAGCCATTGAGATGATAATGATTATGTTAAGATGTGCATTCAATTGGAGATTAGACCCCTGCTGTCTGCCTCGGGCCTGCTACTTTGGAGCTCTCTCGGGACTCCTGGAGAGCTCCCATTGGTTGGGGAAGTGCGGTAGGAGGGAATTCCGGAGGAGGAATTTCCTGTTGGTGTAGTGTGTCCCGGGAGGAGCCGCATGGCGTGGCGTTCGGCATTTTTCCCAGGAGCGTGTGTGGAGTGTGCTGGTGGAGTTCAGAAATAAAGTTTGTTCCTGCTTCAGTGGCTCATGATTTTGTGCCCAGCCAGACTGCGGCACTGGTGAAAAGAGCCCCTCTGAAAGGACACGTATACCATTTACATAACAGTCATGGAACAATGATAAGGATGGAGATTACCTGTTGCTAGGGGCCAGGAGATGAAGGGTGTGGGCATGGCTATAAAAAACTGTAACATCACACAAGGACTGATGTTACAGTTGTGTAACTTGATTTTAGTGATTATTATAGAAATGTACAGATGTGACAAAACTGCATAGAGCTACATAAACATGCACACATATACAATGAGCCCAGTGTAACTGATGAAATCTGAATGAGCTCTATGAATCATGCCAATGTCAATTTCTTGGCTTTGATACTATACTGTAGGTATGTGGAATGTTGGCATTTGGTGGGGAAGCTTTTGGGAAGGGCACACAGAATTTTCCAGTACATTTCTTTGCAACCTATATTTCAAACATACACAGTCTTTCTAATATGCAAATTATATATATATTATTTTTTTAACAGTTTTTTTAAAACTACCCCTCCAAAAATTAATGTCTCACCCCAGGCCAATTGAATTAGATCTCTGGTGTGGACTCCAGGTACCTGACTATTTTTAAACTTCCCCATGTGATGCTAATGTGCAACCAGGGTTGAGAATCACTGCCTTACAAGAACTGAAGCTGCTTTGAATAACTTCAATATCTGGATGGATTAAGATTATCTAGCACCAGCCTTTTTTCCTATAGAGCAAAAGTGAATCCTCTATGGAAAAAAATAACATAATTCAGGGTCACTATTGTGTAGTTTTTCATAATCAGTGTCCATCAAAAAGATAAGAGAATCCAAAACTAAGAATAAAAACAGATAATAGAAACAGATCCACAGAAGATCCAGATATTGAAGTTATCAAAGATTTTTTAAACAATAGCTCCACAAACAGAAAACAAAAAAGAAAGAGTTCAAAGCAAAAAAGTAAAAAGAAGAATAAAATGCAAAGAAAACTACACCTATGCACACCATAGCAAAAGTACTAAAAATCAAAACAAGTTTTTTTGTGCTGGGGATCAAACCCAGGGTTTTTCTTATACTAGGCAAAAACTAGACCAGTGAATTATACTAGTGAATTCTTACAAGGCAATTCCCTACCTCTAAGAAAAAAGTCTTAAAAACAGTCAGATGATAAAAGACATAATGGGGTAGCAATAAGATTAAACTGGCAGCTAAATTCTCATCAGCAAAATGAAAGTCAAAATAAATGCAGTGATGTCTTTAAAATGCCGAAAGAAATTACTACCAACCTAACTTCTACACCTGGGAAAGATAAGTCTTTAAAAAATGAAATGAAATAAGGGTACTTTCAGACTATTAGAAATTGAGAGAATCCTCACTAAGGAAAAGATAAAAGAGTGTTCTTCAGCAGAAGGAAAATATTCTTAGAAATATATATACACACGAACACATATATATGCATACATATACACACAATGGAATATTATACAGTCAAAATAAGATAAAGAAATCATGTTGTAACAGTGGTCCCTTCACCTTCTGAATATAGCCCTCTAAGGCCTATTTTTTAAAAGAACATGTTTGTTTCTCTCTTTTTCCCTCTCCCCCTCCCTAGTTAATTGCCCTTGAACACACTCACTACAGGAAGGAGATGCCTGCTGAGGACCTGGGAAATGAGTATCTCCCAAATTAGCAAGTGCCCTGAGCACCAGAGCACACCTGGAATGTGACCCTTGAAGAGTTCCTTTGAAACTCCCCAGTCCTTCTAGATGGGGAGAGTCACAGCCTTTGTGACAGGAGTCCCCTATGTTTCTCCTTTGCCAGCAAAGCAATAAACTTTCCTTTTTCTCAAAATCGTGTCCTTATTATTAAGTTGGCATTCATTGGCATTAGGGACTGGGACCAAGCTTTGGGTCACTCACAGGAATGTCACTCACAGGAACATGGATGGAACTGGAGATCATCATGTTAAGTGGGAAAAAAAACAGACCCAGAAAGACAAGTATCATGTAGAAGGGGACTATTAGAGAAGAGGAAGGGCCAAGGAAAGGGCAACAGAGTGGATATGATCAAAGTACTTTGTATGCATATATGAAAATGTCACAAAGAAACGTTTTATTTTGCACTTGCCTAGAACATGTGAGGTACTGAGTTCTATCCTCAGCAGCACATAAAAATAAACAAATAAAATAAAGGCGTGGGGCTGGGGTTATGGCTCAGTGGTAGAGAACTTGCCTAGGACAGGTGAGACCCTGGGTTCAATCCTCAGCACCACATACAAACACACAACAAACAAATTTTTAAAAAAAGGTTAAATTCTTAAATAAAATAAACAAAAAAAGCATGTTATCCATCTACGACCACAAAAAAATTAGGGAAAAAAACATATTTCTCTAGCAACAGTAATATGAAATAGCATTTTTGTCCACAACTAAATCTCATGAAGACACCTTTAATACTCAGATTTTAGAGTCTGTAATATTTTTAGGCATTAAAATGAACCAAGATACTTGGATGATTGGTGTTTCAGGTCAGGAAGAAAATTTGGTTGGATCTGAAATATTAGGTTGTTGCTAGAAAGAAGGATGCAAGTATAGAACTACATAGAAGCCAAAAGACACCATGTAAGGGAGCTTCCCCTGAACAGGTTGCAACATTTGAACATCAAAACAGAAGTGGCAATAACAATAATAAGTGAGTAATTGGAACAAGTCTAGACTGTAAAGCATCATTTTGATGCAGAAGGAGGAATGCTAACTAAAAGTGCATACAAATGTTGTTGCCCTACAAAAATACGATGTTTTGGCTTACTTTGTTATTAGTTTTTTTAATATTTATTTTTTAGTTTTAGGTGGATACAGTATCTTTATTTTACATTTATGTGGTGCTGAGGATCGAACCCAGTGCCTCCTGCATGCTAGGTGAGCACTCTACCACTGAGCCACAACCCCAGTCCCTGTTATTACTTTTAATAAGTAAAAAGGTTCTGATCTGTACAGATTTTTTTTTAAATTTGTATACTACAAAGTATTTTTGTGTGCTTGTATAGTTTTCTATCTTATTAGCAGGGAGAAGTATGCAAAAATTTGTCAAATAAATGAAACAATTCGCCAAACGTTGGGACCTACTTATTTTCCAGACAGGATTATTTTCTCCATTGTATTGTTACCAAACTACTTTGATTATTTGTTCCTGGAAAGACATTTTCTGCTGGTATTGTTTGGACCACAATTTCCTAGCTATACTCTTACGTATTACCTGATCTTTTTAGGGCTTGACACATCCAAGAAAATCTTTCATATCTATAAAACACACTATTGACCAGAAGATGGCTCCACAGAGCAATAAAAATCATTTGAAATGATTTAAGTCTGATATGTATGTAAATCATTAGTGCCAAAAATCTCTGTATGAATTGTTTTTCATAATCATAATAAATTTAAATAATTTAAAATCAAACATTTGACTTGTTAAATTAGGTAGGCTAAATGTTTTGTTGAAATTTTAGAAGCAAATACTTTTCAAGATTTGTCATGAAGTTGCCATTGTTAACTTCTGCCTCAAAATTTACCCATATTTATAGAAAACTAGCTTGATACACATAACAAGAGCAAATCCTCTGGAATTAATTGCCATTTTTAAGTATCATCTTCTAAACAATGTAAACAAGATCAGGAATACTCAGCCATTGTTATTTATTCTGATCTAAAAGTAATGTGATGCCTAGAATAACAAATGTACTAAAATATCTTTTAGATAGGCCTTCAATGAGTTTTAATTTAAAAGACAAATTAAGCAATTCAGAGTAAGGTTCATTCTTCAAAATAAATCTAAGAGTAAATATACATACAATATCAATTTCCCTTAAAGTTCTTATGTACTACAATTTACTTTATAATCACAGTTCTGGGGAGAACAAAAACTATTTTTTTTCTAGATTTTACTTATACATTCTTTCTTGTTCATTCAAACAGCTAACTTTATTGAATACTTGCTCTGTGCTACACAAGTTTTTTTAGGCACTTTATGTATATGGATTCATTTAATTCTCAAAGCTACCCTATGAAATAGATATCATTATTATCCCCATTATTTAGATAAGGAAGCTGAGGCACAGAGATTAAACAGTCTAAAATCAGACATATGATAAGGGGAAAATGCAAACTCTGGTGGTTTGTATCTAATTCTGATGGTCTCCTATGTGTTTATTCATCAGAAAATATTTATTGACAGATTATGGGGTATACATCGCTCTCCTAAATGTCATACAAAAATACATACACAATCTCCATCTTCAGTGCTATCATCAAATTAGCGAGGATAGTAATATAGACCTCTCCTTTGCTATTGTGGAGGATTAGATTTAGGACCCTCAAGGATACCAGAATCTGAAGATATGCAAGCAAGCCCCTTATACAAAAAGACTATTATTTACAAATAACCTACACCCATCCTCCCTGTATACTTTAAATCATTTCTAAATTACATGTAATACTAAATACAGTGAAAATGCTATATTATAGTCATTATGCTGTAGTATTAAGGGAATAATGATAAGAAAAAAGTTTGTACACGTTCAGTACAGACATTAATTTTTGAATAGTTTTCCATGAGCAGTCAGTTGAACTGTGGATATAAAACCCATGTACGTGGAGGATTGACTGGATTTACATTGCAGTATGCTTTATAGTTTATTGCAATATTCAAATGCCCATAAATATTAAAGAACTCTTTTTAAGAAAACAGTGTAGAAGATGGTACAAGCTAGTAATAAAATACCACATTAGTGGCACAGACAGTAATTTTAACAATAAAGATAGGCAAAAGAAATGATGTCTATAGACTAGAGTAGGCCAATATCATTTTAATGGAGGTGTTGAGAGTTGAGTTGAGGTAGGCCTGGACAGTGGTAGAAGACTTGGGCATGCAGGGGGAAGTAGGAAAGGTGGTCATTTGGCAGCCCCCTCCCCCCCACAGAGACTATCAAGGAACCAGTTCAAAGACCTGATCAGAATAGAGTGCAAGGTAGGTTGTGAGAAATAAGGTAGGGTAGGAACATTCTTTGGAGTCTTTTGAGTGTTAGAATTGTTAGAAACTAAAAGGGCAAGTAATTGATAAGTAATAGCTAACAACACAGCACATTCCTGGGAGCTTATTTAGCTGCTCAAGGTCACTATTACATTTGCAAGGGAACCTTAGAGTTGAAAATGCTATTAGAGTTAAGGATTTTGCAATTGTATAAGTCATTTATGGATTGATGAACCTTTCACTAACAGTTATGAACTGTTCTGAAAAAAAAAATCCAGAGCCACTTGATTTATGCATCTATGCTAATACTATTTCATAAAAATTAATGCTGTTTTTCTGCTTCATTTATGATGCCTTTATACTAATTTGTCTTTGTCTATTTTAAAATTCTTTCCTGCACATACTAGGCCTTTATCATTCCGTTCACTCTCTCTCTTCCAGCAAAGGTACTTTAGCAGAAACATTTACTAACACAGGGGTTAAGGTTATACATGAAAATATATGTCTCTTTTATGATTTAGAAAAAGAGTTGTCTTCATGACAAGAGAACCAGGAGTTCAATTGTGTGAAGGATAGTGAAGGTATTGTCTAACATCGTTTAGAGTAGATCAATGATTGATGAAGTAACCCAATCTGAAATATACCTTGCAGAAAACTCACTAAATTTTGAAAAGAGTAAGGTGGTCAGCCTATAAAGTAGAGATTCCAAATGCGAGTTATTAAGACACCTCATAATCTTTCTTTGATGTGGAAACCACTTCTTTTCTCTTTCCTTCTCTCAAGTATTGTAGGACAGTACTTACTGTTTAAATGAAAGGACATTTTAAAAATCACTCTTAACTTGAGAATTTACTCAAAATAGAGTGACACTCTTGGGTTACAAAGCTGTAACGGGAGTTCTAAGCCGGATGCCCAACTCTGGGGGTCCCAGTGAATTTGGTCTAGCCATTCATCCCAGAAACCAAATGGAATGATGAAATGCACAAAAGGAATTTATTCCATAGAGCTGTATTGAGAATACAAGGGGGATCCAGCATCCTCAGCCCTGTCTCTGGGAGTACTGACATGAGCTCCCAGATTATATAGGCCAGAGGGCCTATCCTATATAGTCCAGAGGGCATTATCCACCAGCATCTGTCAAACTGTGGTCTGGTTGATCATTATGTCAGGATTGGCCAAGGAGGTCCTTATCAGCAGCAGTAAGAAAGTTGCTGTTTCAACTCAACACAAGATGTTTATCAATCAGATCTGTTGTTCCTGGAATCCAAAACGACTACAGGAGAGAATAACTCAGAGAAAAGAACAGGTCAGAAAAGCAGGATAGTGCTAATTCTGTCAGGTTTAGGGCGGTGACTTTTGATGCTACTCAGTGGTCTAGACATCTGCAGACCCAAGTGAAGTCAGTGCTCTTGCAAAATCAGCCTGAGTCCCTGTTATTAAACTATGACTGGAAAGCCTTTAGGAAAGCAGGAAATAATTTCATTTCATTACCACCCATCTACATATTGAAAATGTGACCAAGGACAAAACCTTGGGGATTTGATCCCGTGTATTGACAAAGCCTAGCTCTACTAAATAATCTGTACTGCAATTTCTTTACTTTTAAGAGTGGGAAGCATCGGGAAGGAAGTAAGATAGAATTCTGAGGCTTTGGTTCAAATCTACCACTTGTGTGAGTAATACAGGTGAACTATACCAGGTGCATAGCAGTTAACACCAGTGAGAGAGAAGAGGGGGACAGTGACATTTCTGAGATCATAACAAATAGTTTTTCCAAGTTTAACCTATGAAAGCTAAAGGTAAGACAAAAAAAAAAAAATACTGAT